TTTTTTTTTTTTTTTAGCGTAGTGGATCATTCATGGATTCTTTTCTTTATTATCTTAGCTTTGACTCCTGCCAGTCATTCTAGATAATTTTCTCGATTTATGTGACACAAACAACTATGATGTTTAAACAGACAATTTTCAGGGATCCCTCCATCAGCTTTTAGCAGTGTAGTGGTCCAATCCTTTAGACTGCCATGTCCTTCTTGAATAATCTTACCCAAATCAGACCAGATTTTTACAGCCATTTAAGGGCTGCTTTGATCAGGTGACTGGCACCTTATGAACATGGCATAGGGAAAATCAGATTTCTGAAGGACAACTACAAATGCTGAAATGAATACAGAGCTACCAAGAGTTAACCAGAGGGCAAAGATGAACACAGCAGGGTGTAGATCAGTCACTTCTCTGGTTTGTCTGGGAACAGTCTGGCTCCAGGGAACATCCCCTTGGATCAAAATTCCTGGGCACTAGAAAGAGTGGAGTAGCTGCTTGTCTCTTTAAAGTGAAGCTCTAAGAAACAGCTCTGCTGATGCCATTCAGAAATAGTCGTCTGGCTAGAAAAACACCCCAGAGATGAGACCTTTGGAAACCCCTGAGTTCCAGTGAGATTTGGATGAAAAGGAGCAATGTCTTGCTCAGCCAGTACCCTCCTGATTAAGAGCCAAAACTGTTCCAGGATTTGATGGATGATTGGGATTATTTATACCTAAACTTGCCTGTCCAAAGCAGACATCTGCTCTGAGCCAGACATCTGTCCTCCCTCCCTACTCAGTGGGCAGAGCAATGCCAGAATTTGGTCCAGTTGAACTTGAACTGCTTTCTTAAAGTGGGGGTGAATAATTGTCTCATGGAAACATCTCTTGCTTTCTGCTTGGTAAAGGGAAACAGGTTTATAACTTTCAGGTGTGTGAAGTAGGACAAAAGTGGGCCAAGTTTCTTTACTCCCATCGATGCTGCGAAGAATTAGAAACTCGTGCACCTGGAGGGTCCTTGACCTTTATTGCTTTTTTTGTGTCTTAATTATCCCTTTCTATATTTCTGAACATTCACATCTACTTAAGATTCTCAAGAATTCAAGTTCCTAAATTATAAGGCCATAAAAGTGCAGTAAATTAGCGAGGCATTCATTTAATCTTGCATATTAATGAAACTTTTTTGTTCTAATGCTGTGAAGAGTAACGCCCAAACATTTTCAAATTTTTATCTCAGTACTTTCATTACATAACCCAACATTTCCCTGTCAGTGATCTTATTGTTCCCATACCACTAAACAAAATTTGCAGAGATGTTTTGAAGTGCAAAAATTGCTGTACAAACTGATTGCCATACAAGAAAAGGGCAATAGGGAATATATTTTTAGAAAACAGATAATTACTTGATGATTTTAATATGTCGGAGATATGGGTGGGTGGGAGAAAAACAAGAAGAGCTTTAGAGAAAATAATTTCTTTGTGGAACAGGTTGGTTCACCAAAAAGTACAAGTTTTATCAAGGCACGAACTCACCCATGAGGTTGTGCTATTTTTGTATTATGCTGATAGCAAAAAATATATAATTTAAAAGAATTAATCAATTGATAAAATAGAAGTAATTTCAACTTTGCTGATTCCCAGTTTTTTCTCCAGCAGCAGTTCAACCTACATTTTGTTGGCAGGGATCTTCCTTTCTGTGCCGTTGAAAACTCATCCACAGAAAGGATTTAAAGTCTTTATTTGTTGGAATGACAAAGTCAGTAAATTAGAAGTGTTGCTATTAACTTGGGACCTGATTCTGTCAACATTTGTGCCGGTGCCTAATTAATTCACGCAGTTAGGCCCAGAGATGTTAATGGCTCACATTTTTCAGTCTAAGCGTATGCACAACTGTGTTCAAGGCCACAGCTCAAACTACGAAACCAGGGTTTAATTCTTCCCCAGAAGTATTGATTTGCTTCTGAATCGAAAATTCGTAGCCAATGTCTCTGTGCATAATAAATGAATCATTCTCTACCTGATGCATTTGCAAGTTTTAACTCCAGATACAGGTTCGTGCCTTCACCTGAATTTTACTTGGAGTTCTTTCGCTGTTGGGATAAAAACGTCCTTCTTTGTGCAGGAAATGATAGATAAGAAGGACTGGAGGTTTTTTTGTCACGGAGCTCAATAACCTTCCATGGAGAATAATACAGTTTTCAACTCAAGTTTCAAAAACTTTACTGCATTAGTGGCCATATATGCATGGTGAAGCTGTGAGTAGTGGCATCTTATTAGTTTAAGATGTTTTTTCTTGCTTGTCTAATCAAAAGTGAGCACTGATGTAAAAATGCAGTTGGCAAGCAAGCAATCCATAAAGTACTTTAATAGCTATTTCCATTTTGAAAGAGCAGATAATGGTCACGTGTAGCATGTAAATTAAGGACTAAATTATAGCCAGCTCTGCAAAGTCAGAACGGAGGGAAGAGGCTCCCACAGCCAGTGGAAGTCATTGTGGTGACACACGTGGTCAAGTTAATGCAGGAAAACTAATGAAATGTAACTTCCCACCTTACAGTGATTTCATTTACATTTCCCTTGTTTTGTCTCTGAGAAACACCCCAGGTGGCCATTGCAAAGATCTCACCAAAGTCGATCTGTACTATATCTGCTTCCCCCCACCACCACTGATACCTGCCCTGTCAAGGAAAAGATTGTAAAAGATTGGTGCAACCTGTTTTGACAAATCTCTTCCCTGTCCAGCATCTGCTCATTATTTACAAGATAATCAAAAATTAATTGCTCTGTGTCATGTTTCATTATCTTTCTGGGTACTAAAATTATGTTGAATGTTTTGTAAATCTCCCTTTTTTTCTCTATCTTTATAATAATAGATATGTGCTTCCTCTTTTCTTTTTCCAAATCTCTGGAATTCTCACTGTTATTGTTTTTCTTGAGGTCTGTAGCATCTGCTATTAATTATATCAAATACCTGACCACCTCTGCTAGTTAGGAAATTCTAGACAGAAATTTAAGGTTAACCCTAAATATTAAGGGGTTTACCTCCTTTTTGTTGTAATTTTTGCATCTCTAATTTTTCTTATTTTATCCCTATGACCCTAAATAATTTCTGTTTTATTCTTTAGATTGGCTTGTTTTCACTGTATTTTGAATGATTTCTTTTTGATGCTCAGTCTAAAGACTTCCTTATGCAATCATATTAGTCTCCTACTACACTTTCAAGTGTTCTATTAATTAAGGTAATTTGATATATGCATTTATTAATATTCTTTCCAAAACTTCCAGCTCTCTCATACTCCTTTTCTAATTAAAATGTTTCCCCTCTGCCTGGCAATGTTTTGTTAATGTTTACTTTTTTAAAAGTCTATTGTTTCTGCCGTTTCTTCCTGTTTTCTTCAACATATCCCAAGCAGTTACTGAATATTGTCTGCATGGAAGACACAATTTTGTTCTCTCATCTGTGTATTTGGACAAATAGATATATATATATATGTATATGTGTGTGTATACATATAAACAAGATTTGAATCCCTATATCTTGAACTTTAAAGGGTTCCCCATTAATATCCAGTAATACCTAAATGCCAGAAACAGAAAGTTTGAGCTCGTGGTTGCTGCCGCTTGTTCTCTGTAACGTAAACTATTCTTGAATCATGTTTTTTTTGTGATTTTACTTTAAACCAGATAGTAAGTGAGATGCATAAAAGGCAGTTTTAAATGTAGGATATTCAGTCAAGAAGAAAATGTGGTTTCACGTCACAGTGAAAGTTTCCTTCCTAGGAAAGGTTGTCACTGCTCTGGATGAAAATAACACTGGAAATTCCCCTTTGTATTCATCAGTTGGGTTCAAGTTACCAAGAAGTGCATTAAAAATAGGGTCTAGGGAAAAGATAGTCTGGAAAGGTAATATTTTAACAACAAAAAAGGCAACTGACTGATTTAGGAATCATCTTTCCTGTTTTTCCAACTGTATTATCAAAATAGTAAAGCCGGGGGTACATGATTTGGATACCTAAACTCTGCATTTAAAATTATATGAATATAATATAAAGACATCTATCTATAAATCAAGTTTGACCCAAGTTCCCTAAATTCTTTAATATTAATCCCACTGGATTTTGTATCCAGGTTTCTAGTGAACACAGGTTTCCTCCAATATTAAGCTAAAAACTTTGAAGAGGAAAGTAAGTACAGAAGTGTAGGTGCATTATAATCAGTGGGACCTGGCATTCATGTTCCTGTTTGTGGGATTTGGCTGTAAGTTCTTAGAGGACTGATTTGGGGAAGATTTGTCTTTCTGCAAACATGATGTGCAGAAAGTGATTATACCTTCAAAGGAATGCTGTGTGAAATTTGGAGAAAAGCCTCTTGCTACTTCAAGGAATGCCCTGAAACTATTTACAGAAGTAATAATTGCTTTAAGCTATGCATTAAAAAGTTCATACCACAGTTTATAATACTGTTAGTTAATATCTGTGACTATTTTTTGTATTATGTACATGACGATAGTGAAGAAACAGAAGTTTCATTCAAGTGCCTTCTCAGAAGTAATAGGCTTGATTTCACATTTTGTCCTTTATATAGTTATTATTATTCAGTTTGAGCTAGTCTGCAGTTAGTTGTTTAAATGAGTGGGCATAATGGCTACAGTTGGCTTTGATCACTCGATACAAATATGTCCTGTCTTCATTCCAAGTTGTAAAGCTTTTAAATGTACTTAACTGATTGCTCAGGTATCTTGCAGTCTTTTAAAAGTTGAGAGATCTCACTTTTTAGAGGAAGTTTTCCATTTTGTATTGTGCAATTGGGGGAGAGAATATGAAGATCATTAATTTCACGCTGCCAGAAGATGTGCCAGAGCTCTGCATGTGCAGCATCAGCACCAGCCCATGCCATGAGCCTTCCTGTGTCTTGAGTTTGTAAGAACAGCACATCCCACATTGGCTGGAAAGTTTCTCTGCCCAAGAGCAGGGGGAGAATGGTCATGAAAGAAGGCGTCTAATCTTCCTTTCGTTGTGTTTAATCCAGTCATGCCGCGTTTTGCTGAGCAAGTTGAGGTTGCCATTGAAGCTCTGAGTGCCAACGTCCCCCAGCCATTTGAGGAGAACGAGTTCATCGACGCCTCCCGCCTGGTTTACGACGGAGTTCGTGACATCAGGAAAGCTGTTCTGATGATCAGGGTATGTAAAGCACCTGGGGAGTGAAATTTGGGACTTACAGGGGTAGTATGGTGTTGGATGAGAGAAACACGAAAGCTTCTTGGAATCAACCCTGTGCTGTAAATAAGCCAGAAAAGGTTGACATTGAAACAAGCATGAAACAGAAGTATGGGCAACCAGAAAGAATTAGTAAATAAAGAGGTAAGGTTGTTTTTGTAGATGAACCACAATTAATATGTTAATCACCTCGGAGGAGATTTGATTGCAACTGTCAATAGATGCAAACTTCATTACTGTTTCCATAGTAATAGAATTAATTTCCCAAGGTCTTCAAAGTTTGTGTAGTTTTTTTGTCGTTTTGTTTATTTGGGTTCTTTTCCTAATGTATGTGTGCTGCTCAGGATGTGAGGTAGGTCTGGTTAAAATCTAAATGAATAAATAAATTATCTTGCTGCTCCAGTGAGCCTCTGCAGGGATGGTTTTGAATGTTTACTGAGGTATAAATGTGTCATTTCAGTGTTGACTAACCAGTGGATTCAATTTGCTTAGACATCTTTTAATAAAACAAACAAATAAATAAAAGAAACCAGAGAACAACATCATTATTATGAGAGTAGGTGTGTGCTGCTTTTCACTGTAGTCTGCAGTCAAAGATTTAAAACATAAAACCAGCAAACCAAACCTAGTTTGGACATCTTTTCAACAATTGCAACTGTTATTTGAAACCCAAATTACTTTGAATCTGCCCTAATGAAAGCCACATGCACAGAAAGCTATGGAGGAAATCACAGAGGATTTTTTATTTCTTGTGAAGCAAATAACAGGGCTAAAATACCAACTCATCCCTTCAAACCAACAGGTAACATACACTTGTGGTTGGGAGTGTATTATGGCTCTGATGTAAGACTTGAGGCAGTTGGAGCCCTCCAGAATAGCTCCATTTTAGTAATCTGTCACTATGTATTAACATTTACAGAAAAAGCTTTTGACAGGCTTAATTTTATAACTGAGAAACATAAATTCCATTCTCATCCCCAGGGCTCGTCTCAGGTAGCCTGAATTATAGTCGTGACTGATGACGGGGGAAACCCGTCCTGCCTGTGGGTGTGCAGCATCAGAGTCCTGCAAGTCTTCTGGACTGGGATGGAACTCTTTACTTCAGTTACTTCCCTGTGAGGGTGGGGAGGCCCTGGCACAGGTTGCCCAGAGAAGCTGTGGCTGCCCCATCCCTGGAAGTGTCCAAGGCCAGGTTGGACGGGGCTTGGAGCAACCTGGGACAGTGGAAGGTGTCCCTGCCCATGGCAGGGAGTGGAATTGGATGGTCTTTAAAAGTCCCTTCCAACTCAAACCATTGTATGGTTCTATAATGAAAGATCTGCATAGCAAAGGATCTCCATTTTCACTCTGATTATCCAGTTCTTTAGTCTGTAACAGCAGTTTCCAAACTTCTCTTAGGACAAGAACCACTTCTCAGGACATTGTAGTCTTCTCCAGTCATTTGGAATCGCTTCATGAGGCACAGCCAGCAGGTGGGATCTGCTGTAGACACACACTTTCCCGTCCCCTACGCAGAGTTCTGTCTTCCAGCACCTTCCTGCACATCAGAGTTGTCCCTGAGAGGTTGCCATGAGGTTGTCCATCCTGGTGAGATGTTTCTGCTAAGCACAAAGCACTGTTTGAAATTCTGGAGGCACATTCACTTATTTCATTCCTGCCTTACA